ACACAACGCATTTCCCAACCAACTGTTCAATGTCCTTGTTGATACCTGGCCAATACACGCACACTTTGGCTCGCAGTTGGCATTTGTTGACACCTTGGTGTCCGGCGTGTATTTTTGCGAGTGTCTCTTGTTGCATGGATTCGGGAATGATGATTCTGTCTCCCTTGACGACTAGGCCGTTGTCGACTGACAGTTCGTCTCTACATGACCAGTAGTGACGTATGCATTTAGGCAGATCCTTGGGATCCTCCGGCCAGCCAGTCATGATTGTCTCAGACAATGATCGTAGGGTAGAATCACTAGCTGTCTCTTGCTTGAGCTGAGTGAGTCTAGCTTGAGAGAACTGTATGGCGTAGATTGTCGTATCGAAGTTGATATGAGGGCCATACGCGGGATTGAGTCGCGAAAGAGCGTCTGCGAGTAATAGTTCGCGTCCCGGCTTGTATACGATCGTGAAATCATAGGGCTGCAAACGCAACATCATACGCTGGAGTCTTGGGGGTGTGTTAGCGAGGCTTTTGTGTTGGATGTTCTCCAAGGGCTTGTGGTCAGACTCCACAACGAACTTTGACCCGTAAAGGTAAGTGTGGAATTGTGTACAACCAAACACCACAGCAAGCAACTCGCGTTCGATGTTTGCGTATCGTTTCTCAGTTTCTGTCAGTGCTTTGTTCGCGAATGCCACAGGTTTGTTGTTTTGCAGGAGTGCCGCTCCGAGTCCTTTCAGAGACGCGTCGACCTGTAGCACTGTGGGTTGTCGAGGGTCGAAGTGGGTGAGCGTACACTCAGTACCGATTAGCGACTTGAAATTTTCGAATGCTTTCTGGTGCGATTCCGTCCACTGCCACTCGCTTTCTTTGCGTAGCAGTGCGCGGAGTGTGTCCGTATGATCAGCGAGTCTGGGGAGAAACGGCGCGAGGTACTGCACCATGCCCAGAAACTGCTGAAGTTCATTGACATTCTGCGGTGCAGGAAGTGCATGTATGTCTTGCACCTTCTCCGGGTCGGGGTGCACACCAGAGGCATCGTACAGGCATCCGAAGAACTTAATGCAAGGGGTTCTCACCTCGCACTTGCTGAGATTGAAGATCAGGCCGTATTTGCGAGCGACTTGCATGAGGTTGTGTAAGTGTTTGTCATGTTCTTCGACTGTAGAACCGAAGACTGCGATATCATCTGCAATCCCCAAAGTGCCAGGGCATTGCTCCAGGATCATGTCCATTTTCTCCTGGAAGATATCCTGGGAGACTTTCAGCCCGAAGGGTAGGCGACGGAAACGATACCGTCCAAATGGCGAATTGAAGGTTGTCAAGATACTGGACTCCTCATCCAGCACGATGCTCCAGTACCCATGTCGTGCATCCAGCTTGCTGAACACTTTAGCGCCACTGAACTGATGTGTGATTTCTTCCAGTGTTGGCGTTTTGTGATATGTCCGCTTGGAGGCTTTGTTCAGTGCTTGCGGGTCTAGGCACACGCGAAGACTGCCATTGGGCTTTCTGCTGAATGCCAGTGACGAAACCCAGTCTGTGGGCTCCGTGACCTTGGTAATGACATTCATGCTTTCCATTCTGTCCAGTTCAGTCTTAAGCTCCTCCTTGATCTGGATTGGGTACTTTCGTGGAGGATGTACGACCGGACATGCATCCTCTCGTAGCGTGATATGGTATTCACCGGGGAATTTACCAATCCCAGTGAAGCGATCAGGATACATGCTCTGGAGGTCATCTTTCGTTGGTATTGGCTGGATGGGCTCGCGTTGTGTCTGCGATGTGCGATGAACACCCACGGAACTGTCACTGCGTCGTGGTGTTTTGCGTATCGCACAGTTGAGCGTGATGAGGTGGAGAGCTCGTGAGGTCGGAAGTCCAAGGATTGCCGGACCTGTAGTATCGGCGACGAAGAAATCTGCGTCAAGCCAGTCTGTCTCACCGTAGCTGCATGGAATTTTGACGCATCCGTATTGTTGAGTTCGGGTTCCATTGTAGGCTGTGAGAAGCGTACTTTTCGGTGTAGTGGAGCCCGGCTGAGGATACCCATCTGCGTCCAGTGATCGCGGAAACATGCGTCGAAATGTGCGAAGGGGGAGTATGTTCCCTTGTGCACCTGTGTCGACCTTGACATTAAGCGTGTGTGATCCAGGACGATGTTTCAGTTTGATGCGAAGTATTGCGAAAAGTTCATCGCGAGTATCAGTTGAACGCTCAACGTCATCGTGATTGTGCTGGGCTGTGATGGTGTCGAAAGCGATGTTCTCAAACTGGTCCTGCATATCAGTCACTTCATACTCAACCGCGTTTACCTCGTTGGATTTACGAGGTTTGGAGCGCGATGAAGACCGACGACCGCGTTTAGGTGAGTATGATCCCCTGGTACGCGTGTGTGATTTGCGTGTGGTACGTGGTTTAGTCTTAGTGCCTGCTGTACTGAGGCACATGTGTTGCCAGTGTCCATCTTTGCCGCAACCATTGCATGTTGTGCCGTATGCGGGACACTTATCGCGAGGTCGATATGGGTGTCGTCCACCACAGTTTTTGCATTGTCCTCGCGTCCTGACGACGTCCACCTGGGCCTTGCCAATATGGCTCAGTTGTGCCATATGCATGACACTGCCTTCGTGTGCTCGGCAAATGTCCAAGGCGTCTTTGAGTTGCAGTTTGTCATCCTTTCGGAGCAGTTTCTTTTGCACCTCAGAGTATTTTACCCCTGAGATGAGAACCTCGATAATTCTCTCATTGAGGGCTGTTTCACTGGCGAATTGGCATTTCATGGCTTTAGCTTTGCATCGTGTGTAGAAGTCATCAATGCTCTCGGTTTCCATCTGGACAAACCGTTGAAATTCCAACCGATGTATGCGGAAATTGTCCTGGGGTTCAATCTGGCTGGAGAACTTGTCCCAGATGTTTTGAGGATTTTTGAGGTCTTCGTCAGTCAGACCCCATGTGTTGAACATACGGAGACCCTCTTTCCCAGACCACAAAATGATATAATTGTGCTGGTCTTTATCCTCAATGTTTTTGACAGCGAACCACATGGAAGCAGTTTGTTTAAAGTCCTTATATGCTTGGGGTCTGTCATTGGTTTCCCAGTCCATCTTTGGTTGAGGTAGGCCTATTGAATCGGCCATGGCGACTCAATTGTCCGTGCGAAAACGTAGTCAAAATGCAGTCGAGCCGAAGCAGGATACTGCGAACCGCGATGTACGAAGCAGAGGTCAAAGGTCACCGCCCAACACAATGAAATTGGCTTCGCGCACTGTACGTTGTTCGTGTGTGTAAAACTATTGCACAGTACTGTATGTGTGTACACGTACCGTATACTGTTGTTGCGTGCACGGGACTTGTTGCAGCGAAACGTGGAACTTTTCACAGCGTTGATCTCGCCCAGAAATGTTCGATCGAGGGTCTATTTCGATGTCTATTAGGGTAGACCACTTACACCGTTGCCACCATGTGATAAGATATGATAGAATAATGACAAGACTAGCGATGTATTAAGTGAAGTTCTGTAGGTCATGTTCCACGCTCCATGTACAGTAATCAAGTAACCCTGGGAGGTATAGATCAAAGGTTATATGAATATGCATGGTCCCATTACACCTTCCTCGTGCAGAGGTAATTTAACTTGTACCTTTAGTTCACATGCTGCGGAACATGTTCAAAACTGTGCACTCGGTTTTTAATTATCTGCTTAATCAGAATAAATCTGCCAGTAAACAACACAAGCATCTTCAATAAAACAAAATCATGAAATCCTTTACATGCTGCAAATGTTTGATAAGAGTGCAGGAGGAATCCGCGGTCTGTTTGCACACCTGAAGTATGTACACATTATTCTTTCTTCTTCTTGCACAAAGATGGTATGTGCAGAGCAAAACTGCCACAAAATATTCTGGCGTGGTTCAACTTATAAACGTCATTTTCAACAAAATCACAAGGACCGAGATGGTGAAGTACAGGGAAGGCCTCATGATGACCAAGATGGACAGAATGTTGAAATACACAACCTTGTAGAGCAACAAGAAGTAGGTGAAGAGCAAGACGATGCAGTGGGAGAAGAAAAACATACTTGCGGATGGAGACATAAAGTATTCCATATCAGCTAACGTAGCAAGGTTGCGAGGCACTGGAATTCCTGCAACAACGATGCAGTACGTCATTAATAAATCCAAGGAGGTGTTGGGTAATGTTATAGGACAGGTTCAACAACAATTGGCACCATTATTTATAGGTTTAAGAAATGGAGAGCAGCCAACTGAAGAATTGATAAACAGTTTTGAAAATATGCTGGATAAAGGTGTTTTTGGTGACTTTGAAACTGCATATAAACAAAAGAAATACCTAAAGGATGCAGATCTTTAGTTGAGCCTAGGGAAATGGAACTGGGTCAAGTTTTCAGAGTTCAAACTAACAAAACTACTGGCCGCAACTCAAGAGCAGCAGAAAGTATGTTTTCAATACATCCCTCTAGGTAATGTGATTACCAGGTTTCTACAGCAGCCAGGCTTCATGTCGGCATTTTACAAGGAGCGCAGTCTGAAGATGATGAAGTGTTGCAGTCATACCGTGATGGATTTTACTTCAAAGAGAGCCTGAGCTTTGGGAGGTCAAGAGAAACTGTAATACCTATTTGTCTGTACTCGGATGACTTTGAAACTGCTAATCCGCTGGGTTCAAGAAAAGGCATCCACAAACTTACTGCAGTGTACATATCTTTCCCATGCTTGCTTATGCAGTACCAAGCTAGTCTGCGCAACATTCTGTTGACCGCTTTAGCCCCCACGATTTGTCAAGAAATATGGAATGGAAAGCATCTTGTCTCCAATTACGCAAGAGCTACTAGACATGGAAAGAATTGGAATACATATCAACTGCCCCAATGAGTATGTTGGAAGTATCAAGCCAAAATTACTGCAAGTGACAGGGGACAACCTTGGATTGAATTCCATGCTTGGGTATGTAACAAGTTTTGTGAGCATCTACTATTGCCGAATTTGTAAAATGCATCGAGAGCAAGCTCGGAGAGAAGCAGTTGAAGACGGAAGGCTTCTTAGCAACCAGGGAGGTTATGATGATGATGTGGCCACAAATGATCCTTCTGCAACAGGAATACGCTACATGAGCGTATTGAATTCTATACCATATTATCATGTCATTCATAACAAGGCATTAGATATAATGCATGATTTTCTAGAAGGGGTTCTACCACTCAAGATGAAATTAGTACTCGGCGAAATACTTCAAAGGGGGCAAATAACCCTGGAAAACTTCAACAGCAGGCTACAGTCCTTTAACTACGGCTTCATAGATCGTAGTTAAAAAGAACCGACCAAGCTCTCTGTCTGCACATCAGATAGCTAATCCAGCTGGACCTAGTGGCCAGAAGGCTGCGCAAATGAAATGCCTCATCCTGTATTTCCCCCTCTTAATCGGGGACAAAGTAGAGGAAGAATCTGAACACTGGGAGTTGTTGCTCAAGATACTGGGAATTTTCAAGCTAGTGTGTGCTCCAAAAATAAGCAAAATGGCGACCTACTTCCTAGATCAAAAGTTGAGGATCATCATACACTCTTCCTGAAGCTCTTTCCAGGTAGGCAGTTGACACCTAAACAACACAACTGTATTCATTATCCTTCTGCGATAAGATGTCTTGGTCCTCTTTCTCAGTACTCAGTGATGAGAATGGAGGCAAAACACAAAGAGCTAAAAAAGTGGGCAAAAGTTTCCAACAACTTCAGGAATATAGCAAGGACCCTAGCAGAGAGACACCAGCAGGCTCAAGGATTTGAATTCCTCATGAAACAAAACATCAGCAGCCGATCCGTGGAACTGGGAAACTTAGTGGTGGTAAAGGCTTCAGCACTAGAAAATTCTGATCAAGTTGTAAGAGCTCTTCGGTGCCTTCCAGACCAAGATATTACTGTTGTTACTAGTGTCACAATCAGCGGATACACCTACATACCAAATGTTAAAGTTTTGATTAGCTGGGATGATGAACCACACTTTGCTAATGTTGAGCAGATGTTGCTTGCTGATGGCAGCCTAAGACTGATTTTCAAACCTTGGACCACTTCGTACTTCCACCATCACTACAATGCATATGCAGTGAAAGAATCCAACCATCACACTCAAGTTACTGATCCCAAAAACCTTCTTGACCACAAGCCACTCCATACAGTTAAGTGCTATGATGTGAGAAATCCAGTTTGGTTTATCGTCACACGTTTCAAGATGGCCTGATGACCTTGTCAAGAGCACCAATACACACAGGTACATGAACACTAATAAGAGCCACAAAGAATAGCACAAATTCCTCCCCTTACCAACGTTTTGGTTTAAATTTCAGAGTGCATTTGTACACTACATGCAATGCAGGTGCAAGGCTCAGCTCTAGTTGTAGATGTCTCATTTAAAGTCAAAGCTCTCATCAGCGGTAGTTATTTAGAATATATTGTGGCAGAGTAAATATAATTCAGAAACACAGTCATTCCTAAGAGTGATGTAAATGTTTGCACAATTTTCTGCACCTGATTCACAGTTTACTCTCAAGTTTCATGTGCCTCATTTGTGTGCTTAATTTTATTTACTTATTGTTTTCACTTCCTTGCAGTATGCTGCCTGCCTTCCAGTTACCAGTACATTTATGGATGGTGCACCTCTGCGGTTTCTAGAGAGCATTTCCTCAGCCTCAGAGATTGATAGCGTTGTCTAACATCTTTGCACAGAACGAGCAAGACTTTGAGATACTGCACCCTGATGCTGCCAACAACCTTTACATCAAATTGGCTACACTGTCGGAAGATCTGCTGGCATATAGTCCCAAGGCATGTCCATCATGGCAGTCAGATGAGGAGGAGGAGGAGGATATTGAACTGGAGAATCTCACAGCAGGTAGTTTTATTTATTTTTAATCAGTTCAATTGCAAACCCACGAATAGTTGTTACAGCTTGTGCAGAGCATGTTCTTTTTTTTTTTAGTATTGTTATGGGGGGGCACGATGTAAAGTAAGCCTTGTTGAAAACCCATGTTAATTTTGAATTTGTAAATTTTTGTGCAGCAGTTGTCCCTTTTGTCAACCCTTTGAGAAATGGCTTACCATAAGTTAACTCTTTGTAAATGTATGACAAAGGGTTTATCCTAGGTACCAAGTGTTGTTATTTTCTTGTTTGTCCAGAACAACTCTTGTTCTGCCTATCCTGTTTAAGGGCAGAAGGAAGGGAAAGGGGGGTCGGATCAGCTTCACTGAGTCATCAAGAGCCTTCATGGACTTCGAGTGTGTGAGTTGCAGAACACCTTCAATTAAGTCAAACAAGTTAAAAACTTGAACATACATGTTTCATATTTAAGACCTTCAGAAACCGGGGTCAGAATGTGACTGGCAGTGGCAGCAAGGTTTAAAAATGTACTGCTGTGAACTTCACCTGTTCATAATTTACCACAGGTTCTGTCGTAAATAAATAAGAACGCTGTCTCTTTGTTTTGGTCACTTCAACAATGAACACGGTCTGCAAATAGACAAACAGAAATGTAATATGATTAAGAAAGGTTGGTAATCCTCTATCTCCCCCCAAGTCTTTGGCACAAAATGTTCCTATGTGTCCTTTGGTGTGACAAAGACTGAGAACATGAATAAAGAACATTATTAACGGTTAATCTAGACAGAACATGAATTAAGAACATTATTAACGGTTAATCTAGACTAAACTGTAACACCAAAAACTGGAAACGTAAGGGTAAAGTATGATCCAATTAATAGGATCACATATCATAGTCAGAGTGCCAGGCAGGCTTGTTAGTACTGCGACCGGACCGCCTGGGTGCAGCAGCTGGGGTGTCAACTGCGGGAGGGGTAGCGGGCTTGGTACCAATGACCTGGGGAGGCAACATCGAAGGTACTGGGCCGCTGGGCCTGCTGGCTTGTGACGACTCATCCATAGGTGGGGGCGGAGCATCAACAAGGGGCCGACGTTCTTGACTCGGAGGGTCCTGGGTCATTCTGGGCGATGTGCCAGGGTCTGTAGCATGTGCCAAGGGCAACGAGAGTCGCTGTGGAGTGGCGCCAGTTGCGGTGGGGGAGTGTGTCGACTTGGGCACTGGGTTAGCAGTCGGCTTTGGTGGACAATGAACCTCCTCGTGACTGGTCGGATTTGTCTTGTACACAATGCCTTGGCGTGGGATGATCCGGCGAACTGTCGGCTGACGCACTCCGATGTCATCATCCATTGTCAATCGTGGTGTGCGTATTTGTACGGGAATGTACCTTCTCAGGAATTTCCTATTACGCAGGGTCACTCTTCCTGAACCATCAACCCTCACAACGTATTGGTCAAACTGGCGGACTTCAACTATGATGCCAGTTTTGTCCCATTTAAGGGGGTGTGGCCCTGTCTGATTCTGGATGCGGACGTGGTCACCCACGACAAGGGGCAAGAGCCTTTTGGTGTGTTCGGACCAGCGCTCGGCACCTGTCATGTGGCGATTGCGGAGAGCTTCTTCTCGAGCCGCCAAGGTCTCACGCCAAGTGTTATGGGGCCTGTATTTGCCAGGTGGTATGGGGATGAAGTCCCGAATCGGGCGTCCAAATATGCACATTGCCGGGGAGAGTTTGGTGTCTCTGTCGGGAGTATTTCTATACTGGAGCATTGCGCGTTGGAATGCGTCAGTATCGAGGTCACCATTACTGCTGGTGTTGTCCATGATCAGACGTTTTACGGTCTTGACACCAACTTCAGCACGACAGTTGCTATGTGGATAAGCTACTGAGGAAAGGCGATGATGTACACCCCAGTCCTTCAAGAAGTGACGTGTAGCTATAGCCGTGAATTCAGGACCACCGTCAGAGGCCAGCTCATCAGGAATACCGAAGGTGACAAAGGTGCGTCGTAGGCAATTGATGAGCCCAGCTGCGCCATGGGAGGACTTCTCGACAATCGGCCAGTTGGAATAACGGTCGACCACTACCAAGTAGTTGCAGCCTTTGTAGGTAAAGAAGTCGGCACAAACACACTGGAATGGGTAGTCCGGGGGCGTCAGGTGCAATCCGATTACAATGGTTGCACCCAGCGCGAAGGGCTGCAATGGCAGGGGTGATACCAGGCCAGAAAATAGATGCCTCGGCTCTTGTGGTCATAGAGGTAACCCCTTGATGGGCAGCATGTAGATTGGCTAACACCTCCTCCCTCAGAGAGAGGGGTATAACGACACGGTCCTTGTAGAGTATCACGCCGTCAACGGTATGTAGGCTATCCCGAAACTGGAAGTACTCGCGAAGGGGTCTAGGGAGCTCATGGCGGAATTCAGGTATGCCAGATTCGATGAGGTCAACAAGGCCCTGCATGTTGTCGTCACTGGCTGTAGCGGTACGAACCCTGTCCCACGTAACAGATTTGAGGCTGAGTGAGTCTAGGGAGGACACAGCAGATGAGAAGATGCATTCTTCGATGGTGTCTGTATGTGTTGCTGGGGTGCGCAGGCCAGCCATGAGACGTTTAGAATGTGCCAAGATGACGGGTGCGGAATCAATGGACGCTACATCGTCAGGGAGGATCAGTTTGACAGGCTCGCCAGTAGGGTGACGCGAGATACAGTCTGTGGCACGATGTCTAATGCCTGGCACATGGATCATGCGAAATCGGTATCGCAGGGTTTTCTCTTTCAAGTTCCTTAGGCGAGGGTTAGGGATGTCTTCCAGGCATCGGTCAGTGAAGATCTTCAAGAGGGGCTTGTGATCAACAGCAATTATAAGGTCTTCGCATCCCAGTACAAAGTGTCTGGCTTTATCTAGGGCATCAGCGACTGCAAGGGCTTCACCCTCCACTGGGGCATAGCGTGATTCAGCAGGGTGTGTGAATCTGCTACCGACGAGCGTGATTTTCCATCCCGAGTGACAACAGAATGGTTCCATTTTTGTGCAGGAACAGTGTTTCTGTAGTAGCCAGAAGCCAATGCCATTCTTGGACCAATCTGTTGCCAAACACGTAGGCTTGCTCGGGTCAAAGATTTGGACGCCCTCTTCGATCTCGCTGGCTATCACAGCTTTCGATTCCTCAAATGCATTTTGGAGGTTCTCATCCCACTTGAATAATGAGCTAGGTTTCAAAAGTTGCCGGAATGGCAGCATCTCAGCCATGCTGAAGGCGTACGAAACTTGGTTGACAAGCCCAAACCAGGAACGTACATCAGTGATGTCCTTGGGTGTTGGGAAATCCAGGATGGCCTGTAGGTACTTCCTACAAGGCCGGACGCTGTCAGGAGTTATCTCAAACCCGGCGAATTCTACAGTGTCTTCACCAAACACAAACTTGTCAGGGTTAAGGGTGATCCCATTCCGTCCACAGGTGTCGAGCCACTGAACAGCTTGAAAGAAGCAGTCTGCTAGCGAGTCAGCCCAAAGCAGGACATCATCTACACACTTGGTTTTGTTTGGGATGTCTGACACAAACTCGTCATACCGCCTCGTGTATCCATCGCCGGAGGCAATGTACCCTTGAGGGGCCGTTTTGTAACGGTATCTACCCCAGGGTGTTATGAATGTCGTCAAGTGTCGGTCCTCCTTGCGGATGGGAACACTGTGGTAACCGTTCCATGCATCGAAGACGGTTTTCTTTTTCCCGCTTGGGACTGATCTAGCCTGGTGAAAGGGTGATGGCGTGTGGTGCGTTTCCCGCGTGGCATGAGCATTAAGAGCCTGGAAGTCGACAGTACGTCGTGGTTTGCCATTCTTCTTTGCACAAACTACCATTCTGTGGCACCAGGTGACAGGCTCGCCAATGGGAACTGGCTCAAGCACGCCCAACTGCACGTCATGGTCTAACCCAACTTTAACGGCATCCTGCCAGTGGAGTGGGACGGGTACCGGTGTGTGATGCGCAACCGGTTCGGCGTTGGGATCTACCATCAGTGTCATGGGGGGGCTGTCCATAAGAGGCAAAGTCTGATGCTCACATGTGTTGAATGTGCTCGACTTGTAGTAGTCAAGGAGATACTGTTGTAGCTTCATACGGTTAGCGTCGATTGCAGGAAACGGCAGTTTCGTTGGGGGTGGTGGGGGTCGCTGACGCCGAGGGCAATGGCAATCTGAGGTGTGGTCTTCCTGTAGGGCTGCTGTCGTGTCCAGCTTGCATGCTTTCTGAGTTACGCCCATCGAGGGGAAGCCATCCGGAATGATTCCAAGGGCGATGCAGGCCTCTTTGCTGAGGAAGAGCTTGTCAGAACTGTCTGTGACGTAAGTCATTTGCCTGGTTTCAATGACCCGGCCCCGTCCATCTTTGCCTGACAAGCGGAGTACAGTGGCCCCAAGGATCTTGATGCCTCCATTGGTGGCGGTGTGCATCCTCATGGTCACTGGGAGGAGGTCAGATTTACGTAGACCGAGGCGGTGAATGACCTTCATACCGGCGAGGCAACTCTGGCACCCTGTGTCTGCCATGGCGGGGACAGAGCAAGTCATGGTGGGAGTGGGAAGGTCAAAACCGAGGGCTGCGTAGTCTTCCGGTACAATGTTGATGGTTACATCGATGAAAGGTTGTGGCGTTGATCTTTTCCTGAGCCACGTATTGGAGAGGTTGTCATATATGTGATGGTCTAGGGGAATGTTCAGTCCTTGGTGTGGTTTTTCCAAGTTATTGACAGTAACTAACTCGTCAAATGCACACCCATTGGGGTGTTGTACTGGATCAGAGATGGTACATAAGGCATCAAAGACAGCACCTTCACGGTCATCAGGAGGGGCGGGTGTCGAATGTTTTGGTTTGGCCTTACTGCGGCACACACTCTCCATGTGGTGGTGTTTATCACAATGCCCACACCTGTGGCCATATGCTGCACATTCGGTTTTACGAGCGCGGGCCGGGGCGTTCTTCCCATGTCCTTTCTTGCCACAGTAGGAGCATGGGTCATGTTTCTCCTTGAGGTTCACTTGCTTGGCTTTTTTGTACGTGCTGCTGGTCGCATCCACTGAGTGTGAGTCTAGTAGTGATGATGCAGACCGTTTGCCTGCCTCTTTAGCTTCAATGAATTGGAAGACTTCCTCCAGGGTCATGTCTTGGTTCTTATCGCCAAGGAGATCAAGCTGGATTTCAGGGTCTGCGATGCCTCGGGTGAGTACATCCCGTAGGATTGCTTCTGTGTAGTTAACGTCAATGTCACAGCCAGGGCATTTTATTAGGAACTTGCAAATTCCTGCTTGACCACGTAGGCGAGCTCCGAAGCTGCGCACTGTTTCGTCACGATCCTGACGCATATTGTGAAGTGTCACTCTGGCAACCATAGTGTTCTCTTCACGCACAGCAAGTTTTTTTATGGCAGCCAGTACCTCAGTTTCAGATTTGTTGGTGAGGCTACCACCCGCGGATCTTGTGAGGTCCTTGCGCAAGGGTTCATCACAGCATTCAAGTAGTTGTACTACTTTGTCCTTGCCGGCTATCTTGGTGGCATCGACGTAATCTGACCA